AAAAAAAAAAAAAGAAAGAAAGAAAAGAAAAAAGACAAAAAAGAAGTAGGAGGAGGGTCTAGGCAGAGACATTTGCCCCTGCCCAATCCTAAAAGGTTACTTAATGTCCTCCCATCCCCAGTATCTAACCAAGCAGCTGGACACGCTGCGGCACGTGAACGAGCAGCACGCCAAAGTCTATGAGCAGCTGGACCTGACAGCCCGGGACCTGGAGCTGACCAACCACAAGCTGGTGCTGGAGAGTAAGGCTGCCCAGCAGAAGATCCACGGGTGAGGGCCCAGCTGAGGGCTGGGGGCCGGGCAAGGGAGAGCCCAGAGCTGGGTGAACACATGGGCCTGTGGGCTGGTGGGTGTGACTCATGCATTTCTCCCTAGTAACCTGGGATGGAAGTCAGCTTGCCCTTGTTGATTTTGTGTGATTTAACATTCAGGGCACAATCTTGCTTTAAGCACCAACTATGCACCAGGCTCTGTTTTAGACACTGGGGATGCAACAATGGGGAAACAAAGGCATCGTCTTGCACTGTAAGAGCTCACAGCCTGGACTAGAAGGCAGGCATGTCAATTTTTTTTTTTTTTTTGAGATGGAGTTTTGTTCTTGTTGCCCAGGCTGGAGTGCAATGGCATGATCTCAGCTCACGTAAACCTCCCAGGTTCAAGCAATTCTCCTGCCTCAGCCTCCCAAGTGGCTGAGATTACAGGCATGCGCCGCTACACCTGGCTAATTTTGTATTTTTAGTAGAGACGGGGTTTCTCCATGTTGGTCAGGCTGGTCTTGAAGTCCCAATCTCAGGTGATCAGCCCACCTCGGCCTCCCAAAGTGCTGGGATTACAGGTGTGGGCCACCTCGCCCAGCCGGCATGTAAATATTTTATGACAGTGCAGGACAATAAGTGATAGAGGAGTGACAAGGAACTGAGGTGGCACAGAGGAGATGTGATCAGCTCGCCTGGTAAGTATAAAAGAAGGGCGGGTCCTTGGGCATGCAGAGAATTCCCCACCCTACCTCAGACAGCAGGTCAAGGGTACCTGTCTGTCCCCTACCCCACATCCCTCCGTCTTCAGGGAGCCAGGGCTGCAGTGAGGCACACTGACCCCATCCCCTTAAAGTCCCTCGTTTATGTGTCCACCTCCTCATCCCCAGGCTGACAGAGACCATTGAGTGCCTCCAGGCTCAGGTGGAAGAGCTGCAGGCCCAGGTGGAGCAACTGAGGAGCCTGGAGCAGCTGCGAGTGCTCCGGGAGAAGCGGGAACGCAGGCGTACCATCCACACCTTCCCCTGCCTCAAAGAGCTGTGCACCAGCCCCCGGTAGGTGAGAGTGCTGCTTCGTGTCTATGGGATTGCCAGCCAGGGGAGGAAGGGGAGGCCACAGGCAGCAGGGGAAATGAGAGTTGGTGCATCATCCAGGCCATCAGGGAGACTGGTCCTGTTGCTAATGATAGTCATAGCAGCTGGCGTTTACTGAGCACTGGCTGTGTGCTGCCACTGTGCTGATTGAATTCTTATTGTAACACTGTCAGGGATGTTTTATTATGCCTCTTCTCCAGATGAGAAAATTGAAGCTCAGAGGCTATGTGTCTTATCCAAGGTCACCTGTTTAGTAAGAGGTACAGCCAGGATGTTAACCCAGGAAGGGTAACTCCACTGTGCTTTTCGGTTCCCATTAAACCTAAGACCAGACAACCACTTAATAATGGAAAAATACCTGTTACCTATGTAGTGGGTGTTTCAATAAGGGTCCTGGCAGGAAACAGTCCCTTACACAGAGTAATGGAGAAGTTCAATGAAGAAGAGGTGTGGGCAGGGTGTAGGGAAACCACTGAGAGACTCTAGGGCCCGGCGGTTGCAGCAGGGAGGACCTGCTACCAGCCCTAGGCCTCAAAGAGCAAGGGAGAAGGGAGGTTACCAGCACCTAGATGGCATGGAGAGGGTTGCCTGGCCACCATTAAGCATGGAGAGCCCAGGGAGAATACACCCCACGGCCTCTGCTTCCCCCTCGGACCTCTAGGCAGTGCCTCCCCTCCCATGGACCAAGCTCAGGAAAGAAGGAGGGGACCTGGCAGAGGCGGTCCGTAGTGGTCAGCCTCTTGGGGCAGAGAGCAGGGGGAGAAGGGCGGAGGAGAGTGGAGAGCCAGTGGAGAGGAGCAAACAGTATTTCAGCCCAGAGAACAAGAGCGATGTAAGCGCCCTGGCTGGGCTGCTTGGCCTTGGCCGTGACCACTGCCGTCTCCTCCGCCCCCACCCCCCATGGCTCCCCACCAGGTGCAAGGATGCTTTCCGCTTGCACAGTTCCTCCCTGGAGCTGGGCCCTCGACCTCTGGAGCAGGAGAACGAGCGGCTGCAAACCCTGGTGGGGGCGCTGCGCTCACAGGTGAGCCAGGAGCGGCAGCGCAAGGAGCGGGCGGAGCGGGAGTACACAGCGGTGCTGCAGGAGTACTCGGAGCTGGAGCGGCAACTGTGCGAGAAGGAGGCCTGTCGCCTGCGCGTGCAGGAGCTGGAGGCTGAGCTGCTGGAGCTGCAGCAGATGAAGCAGGCCAAGACCTACCTGCTGGGCCCGGACGACCACCTGGCCGAGGCCCTGCTCGCACCCCTCACGCAGGCCCCTGAGGCCGATGATCCCCAGCCCGGCCGCGGGGACGACTCGGGTGCTCAGGACGGCGTCTCCTCGCCGGCCGCCTCCCCAGGCCACGTGGTGCGCAAGAGCTGCAGCGACACTGCGCTCAACGCCATCGTGGCCAAAGACCCAGCCAGCCGGCATGCAGGCAACCTCACACTGCACGCCAACAGCGTGCGCAAGCGGGGCATGTCCATCCTGCGGGAGGTGGACGAGCAGTACCACGCGCTGCTGGAGAAGTACGAGGAGCTGCTGAGCAAGTGCCGGCAGCACGGGGCCGGGGTGCGGCACGCCGGCGTGCAGACCTCGCGCCCCATCTCCCGGGACAGCTCGTGGAGGGACCTGCGGGGGGGTGAAGAGGGCCAGGGAGAGGCCAAGGTGGGCGAGAAGAGCCTGAGCCAGCACGTGGAGGCCGTGGACAAGCGGCTGGAGCAGAGCCAGCCAGAGTACAAGGCACTCTTCAAGGAGATCTTCTCCAGGATCCAGAAGACCAAGGCTGACATCAACGCCACCAAAGTCAAGACGCACAGCAGCAAGTGACCCTTGCCCGGCCTGCAGCCTCCCTCAGGGAGGAGGCTGTGGGTCCCTCAGGCCTGGACGGTGCAACCTCCAGAGATCCAGCACCCGGCCACCGCAGCACGCCGCCCCCTGATCCAGAAGCACAGCATGTTCCCTGCTGAGTAGAGGCAGTCCACCAGTCCTGCCTCCCAGGAGCCCTTGGCCACCTCGCGCCAGCCCAAAGGCGCAGCTCAGAGTTCAAAGCCAAATGTCCCCACTCCCCCAGGGATCCCCCAGCTCCCCCAGCCCCCAGCTTCCTGACCCTGCGCCTCACCTTCAAGCTGGTGACCAGGCTTCTGAAAGCCATTCTGGATCAGTTGGCTTTTTTAAATTTTTTGGTTACGTTTGTTTTTTCTAAGAGATTTGCAATGCAAGGTCTCCTTGACCCCTTGCCACAACTGGAAACACTTGAAAGGGGACCCCAGGGCCAGCTGTTTCAGGGGTTTCCTGGACCACCTACTGCTTCTCCCCAGCCCTGATGCGCTGATATTTCCTTAGCACCAGCTGTCCACCCCCAGGGTCCTGACCAGGTCAGACATGTCCCCTGTCATGCAGAGCAGGAAGCCTCAGCTGGGCCCAGAGTGTCCCTGACCCAGCCCTGCCAAGGACAGGCTTCTCCCTGCATACCCTGGGCCCACCGCAGATCTGTAGCTAATCAGAGGAGGAGGAGAAAGAGCCCCTCCACAGAGCAGTGCACTGTGTCCCTCAGAGCCGGCCTCCTCGGCTTCCAGCCCCAGAAATCCCTGCCAGGCTTTAAGCCTTCCAAGGGCCAGGACAGTGGGGTGCCCCCATCCCTTCATACCGCCTCCAACTAACCGAGCTTGGCCTCTGCCTCTCCTCTCTGTGCTTGCCCCATCTCAGGGACCATGATGTCTCATTCACTGCACACTCCCCACAGGCCAACCCTGGCACAGGTCATGTCTGCAGCCCCCAGAATGTTCTGGACCTGCACTACCGGCCAGTGGTCCGTGTCCACTCCTGCCTCCCCTTCACTGGGGACTGGGATTTTCACCCCATGCTGCATCGTGTTTAATTGGGATGGGGTTAAGGAACATGTTCCCTCCCTCCCTTCCTCCCATATATTGCCTGCTCTTAACCTCCCACCTTTGTGGGGGGCTTTTGAGGACCCAGCTGGGTCAGGGGTTTTGCTTCAAGATGTCAGAGAGTCAAGGTTCAGCTTAGAGACACCCAGGTCCCCAGCTTGCCCTGAGCAGTCCTCCAGGGCTTCTAGTTCCTTCTACCGCCCTTCCTAAGACCCTAGAAACCAGAGGAGCCATACAGTCAGCGGAAGGCAGGGGCCCTGGCCTCTGCACGGGGAGCCCAGTGGAAATCTTCATGCCTTATTTATTTCTAATGGGTAAAGGGGTTTTCTTACCAAGCATCCCTGACCTCCTGGAAACACCACCTGCTTTCTGGGTGGCACTGCGATGGGAGCTGGTGGTGACTGCGTCCCTCTGTACATGCAACTTGGAAACTTTTGTCTTTGGGGCTAGGCAGCTCCCTGCCCTCCGTGTGTCTGTTTTCTGGGGGAGAGGAATGTGGAAGGGTGGGGGAAGAGCTCCAGCCTGTTTGCTCCCCAGCTCTGTAGTGGCAGACCAGCGTCACCTTCGAAGTATACATGAGAGAAATATATTTACAAATGCTTTATTCTCTTCTTTAATAAAAAATGCACCAGTATTCTAAAAGCAGAAATGGCCCATCTCTGTGTATCTCACACACCTGCCTTGCATCACGCCCAGCCTTGGGAGAGGGTAGCATCCTGGGTCCCACTTCCCCGAGACAGAACAGCGCCAAATAGCAGGCCTAGGAAGAAGTTTCTATATTTATTGCGAGCCAGCTAGGGATACATGGTGAACAACTCGGCAGGGCTCCTATTCCCTTGGAGTTTACATTCTGGTGTGGGGAGATCCACCCAAAATATACAAACAAAAGATAGCATGATGGAAAAATCAGGGCAGGAGGGCAGTGCTACCTCAGCTAGAGCACGTGAACTCAACAGGGTGAACCAAGTTTAAAGAAAAAAAATCGGCCCAGCATGGTGGCTCATGCCTGTAATCCGAGCACTTTGGGAGGCTGAGGTGGGTGGATCATGAGGTCAGCAGTTCAAGACCATCCTGGCTAAGATAGTGAAATCCCGTCTCTACTAAAAATACAAAAAAAAAAAAAAAAAAGTAGCCAGGTGTGGTGGCATGTGCCTGTAGTCCCAGCTACTTGGGAGGCTGAGGCAGAAGAATCGCTTGAACCAGGGAGGCAGAGGTTGCAGTGAGCCAAGATCGCACCACTGCACTCCAGCCTGGGTGACAGAGTGAGACTATCTAAAAAAACAAAAAAATAGGCCTGGTGCAGTGGCTCATGCCTGTAATCCCAGCTCTTTGGGAGGCCAAAATGTATCACTTGAGCTCAGAAGTTTGAGACCAGCTTGAGCAACATAGCAAGACCCTCTCTCTGCAAAAATGTAGCAGAGCATGGTGGTGTGCACTTGTAATCCCAGCTGCTCAGGAGGCTGAGGTGGGAGGATGGTGAGCCTCGGAGGTCGAAGCTGCAATGACCTATGATCACACCACTGCACTCCGGCTTGGGTAGCAGAGCAAGATCCTGTCTAAAAAAACAAAAAAGACTTACATAATCATATCTAGATATATAAATACAGCACATGAAGAGATATACAGTGTCACTAGAATTCCTGGGGGAGGAATTGGCAATTGGGAGAAAATGTCTAAATAGGCTCTTTGAGGTGGGAAGGGGGGGCGATCATGGGAAAAAAAGATTGAGAAATGCTAATTGAGGATGGTCAGGGCGCTGCTGGAGGGGTGATGATGAAGCTGAAACCAGAAGGCTGAGGAGGAACCAATGGGGAAGACCACTGCAGGCCCAGGGAGCAGCCGGGGCAGAGGGTGGATGACAGCTCCCAAGGGACCTGCAGGGAGAGCTCGGGCCTCCTCAGTGCAATGAGAAGCCATTGCAGGGAGTCCAGGGCCAGACTGACACCCTGAGGGGCCATGAAGGATGGGGAAGCTGACATGTCCTTGGGGAGCCACCCATTGATGACATAGGTCAGTCACAGGAATGACAACAGGGCCATCTCCTGGTGTTTTACAAGCTGATAATCCCCACATCTCTCTTCCATATACATGAAAAGCCTCACCACTCCCATTCTTCCTTAGTACATAGAGGGGCTCGTCTTCTGGAGGGGTCCCCATCACCCAGACTGCACCAGCCTCCCTCTTGTTCTGGAGGTGCCGTCGCTCTGTTGGGTCTTCTGTTTTCCTCAATGCAAAATGATAGGCCATGTGCGGTGGCTCACGCCTGTAATCCCAGCACATTGGGAGGCTGAGGCAGGCAGATCACATGAGATCAAGAGTTTGAGACCAGCCTGGCCAACATGGTGAAACCTGGTCTCTACTAAAACTACAAAAAAATTAGGCATGGTGACACACTCCTATAATCCTAGCTACTTGGGAGGCTGAGGTGGGAGGATCACTTGAACCCAGTAAGTGGAGGTTGCAGTGAGCCGAGATGGCACCACTGCAGTCCAACCTGGGTGACAGAGCGAGACTCTGTCAAAAAAAAAAGCATCAGGGGCGGTGGCTCACGCCTGTAATCCCAACATTTTGGGAGGCCTAGGTAGGCAAATCACAAAGTCAGGAGTTCAATACCATCCTGGCCAACATGGTGAAACCTGGTTTCTACTAAAAATACAAAAAGTTAGCTGGGTATAGTGTTGGGTGCCTGTAATCCTAGCTACTCGGGAGACTGAGGCAGGATAATCACTTGAACCTGGAAGGTGGAGGTTGCAGTGAGCCAAGATCGCGCTGCTAAACTCCAGCCTGGGCAACAGAGGAGACTCGGTCTAAAAAAAAAAAAAATGCAAAATGATAATGTTTTTTTCAAACTTCCCATGCACTACCCAGCTGTCTCCAGATTTAGTAATTTCCATTTTGAACTTGAGAACTGCTGTCCAAGCTCAGATATTGGAAGCCTAGAAACAGGATGGTGGGTCTTGATCAAAGGGACACCTCTAGGGTACCTTCCTTCAGCTCACACTGCCAACCCCACCCACCCCTTCTTGCACTAGCAGCCTGAGTAACTTCCAAAATTGGAGAGGAAAATGCTCCTGAATCTTTGAGGGGTTTCTTGCTGGCTTCCTCACTCTCCCATCTCCAGACAAAAAAGGTAGCACTGTGGACCCCAATTCCACTAGCCCACCCGACCTGAGCCTGTGGAAAAGCTTCCAAAGTCTTCCTGGGGAAGTAGATTCAGGACTCAGCTGGAGCTGAGGAGAAATACAGGCTTCCCTCCAAAACTCCTTCCCCCATTGTCCTCATGAGGAACAACTTCCCTCAAACTCAGGAAGTGAGGTAAGTGTGATGCGGGGCCGGGTGCGGTGACTCACACCTGTAATCCCAGCACTTTGGGAGGCTGAGGCAGGAGGATCACTTGAGCCCAGGAGTTGGAGACCAGCCTGGCCAACATGGTGAAACCCCATTTCTACTAAAAACACAAAAACTAGCGGGGCGTGGTGGTGTGCACCTGTAAGCCCAGCTACTCTGGAGGCTGAGGTACAGGAATTGCTTGAACCCAGGAGGCGGAGGTTGCAGTGAACCTAGACCACACCGCTGCACTCTAGCCTGGGCGGCAGAGCCAGACTCTGTCTCGAAAAAAAAAAAATGTGATCTGGCAAGCCCAGGGCTGGGCCCCAAACTGCTGGGCCTACTACCTCAACTGAACAGCGTGGGGGTTTTACAAGGGCAGCATGCAAGTGGCTGTTGGGTTTTCCCATCCTGTTGTCACCTGTCACCAACAGGAGGGGAGCAGGTGGTGATGTATACATGGAGCCATCACACCCAAGAGATGAAGGGAAGCAAGCCATGGCGTGTATCCAGCTGCCCTTCTTTCCCTCAGCATTTTTTTTTTAAGACAGGATCTTGCTCTGTTGCTCAGGCTAGAGTGCAATGGCATAACTGTAGCTTACTGCAGCCTCCAGCTCCTGGAATGAAGTGATTCTCTCCCTTCAGCCTCCCCAGTAGCGGGGACTACAAATGCATGCCACCATGAAGGGTTTTTTTTTTTTTTTTTTTTTTTTTTTTTCAGAGACCAGATCTTACTATATTGTCCAGGCTGGTCTTGAACTCATGTGCTCAAGTGATCCTCCCACACTGACCTCCCAAAGTGCTGGGATTACAGGCGTGAGCCACCATGCCTGGTCTCCCTCAGCCTTCTAAACTGCCCTGTGGATGCATTTCTTTCCCTCTTCCCTCCTGATCACCACTTTGTCCTTGCTCAGAGGACAGATACTCCCTGCTGCCTCCCCAGGGGCCCCTCCCTCATTTTCTCCTCCCCTGAACTGGCACCCTTCTCCTCTCCCAGGCCAAACCCACTGCACCATTTGGAGAGGGGAGCCAGCCAGACAGACCTGCCTCCACCCTCCCTGGAGATCCTGAGCTGAGAGCTGGGGGGTGGCTCCAGTTTTAGGGGACCAGGCAGATAAGGGGAAGCAATGAAGGAAGTACCTTCCACGAAGAGGGGGGCAGCTCTGCACTGCCCATCCCCTCAGGGAAGAAGGAAAGACGGTTTGGAATAGAGTTTGTCAGCCTGGATTTCCCACTCCAGGGCTACAGAGGAAAAAAGACAAGAGTAATCAGATCCGCGAAAGAAAAAGCAAGTTCCCTTAAGGAACCTGCAGCCCTCAGCAGCAGCTAATTTTTGTTGCCTGCTGACTTCATGCCAAGCACGGTGTTAAATGTTTTATATGTGTTTACTATCCTCAAAAACTTTATGAGATGGCTATAAAATCTATAAAATCTCCATTTTACTGATGAGGATACAAAAACTTAGAGGTTAGGTCAGTAATTCAAGGTCACATTGAAATATTCGAGCTTAGCTAGGCACAGTGGCTCATGCTTATAATCCCAGCACTTTGGGGGACCAAGGTAAGCAGACTGCTTGAGCCCAGGAATTCAAGACCAGCCTGGGCAACATGGTGAAACCTTGTCTCTACAAAAAAATACAAAAATTAGCTGGCACATGACTGTAATCCCAACTACTCAGGAGGCCGAGGTGGGAGGATCACTTGAGCTGGGGAGGCCATGGTTGCAGTGAGCTGGGATCACACCACTGCATTCCAGCCTGAGTGACAGAGCAAGATTTTGGCTCAAAATATAATAATAAAATTTTAAAATAAAGTCATAGTCACAGCTACCAAGGGTTAGGATATGGACTTTTTTTTTTTTTTGAGACGGGGTCTCACTCTGACACCAGGCTGGAGTGCAGTGACACGATCTCTGCTCACTGCAACCTCTGCCTCTCCAGTTCAAACAATTCCCATGCCTCGGCCTCCAGAGTAGCTAGGACTACAGGCGTGTGCCACCATGCCCAGCTAATGTTTTGCATTTTAGTAGAGACTGGATTTCACCCTGTTAGCCAGGATGGTCTCGATTTCCTGACCTTGTGATCTGCCCGCCTTGGACTCCCAAAGTGCTGGAATTACAGGCGTGAGCCACCGCGCCTGGCCTCTATTTTTTAAATAAAAAAATAAATATTCCAACTTAGACCTGACCAATCCATCATGCCTCATCAATCCACCATGCCTCATTGCACAATCCCTATCTACATAAAATGATGAGTTTGGTTTTTTGTTTGTTTGTTTGTTTGTTTGCTTTTTGAGACAGAGTCCTGCTCTGTCACCCAG